AACACTCTGAGGGTGAGTTGGGAGACGACGCAGGCTGAGAAAGACCATTGCACATCTGTGGGAGAGCCCAGTAGGGGCACCAGAGAGGAGGACCCCATGCAACACTGGGGCCAGAGACAAAAGGGCACCCACAAAGCAGAGACATGCTCTTCCAGTCCTGTTTCTTGAACAGAAGAGGTTGCAAACGGTTCACAGGCAATCCTTGCAGAAACACCAGCTAAGGATATGTCTACACTGCAAAAAGAGGTATGTCTTTTAACTCACATTAGCTAACTTGGATTAAAATAACAGTAAAGACAAAGCAACTTGGGTTTTATCTCAGGGTTAGCAGCTCAATTCCACCCCCAGCTCCTCTAAGGCTTTAATTTGAGCTGCTGACCCAAGTTAAAAGCCAAGTTGATGGGTCTTCACTGCAATTTTAATCTGAGTTAGGTAACCCAGGTTAAGAACCCATAGGGTGACCAGACAGCAAATGTGAAAAATCGGGACAGGGGGTGCAGGGTAATAGGAGCCTATGTAAGAAAAACACCCAAAAATTGTGACTGTCCTAATAAAATCAGGACATCTGGTCACCCTACAAACACACCTTTTATTTTTCAGTGTAGACATATGCTAAAGCCCTGTCAACAAGGAGCAGCTTTGTCTTTCTGGGAGTTTGTCTTCACTGCAAAGTCAGCTGAAGTTATAACTCAAATGCTGCCCTAACTTGAGTCCTGTCTGCACACAAAAGCCCTTATTTCAAATGCAGTGTTGCTCGTAGCTCACGTTGTTGTCCCATCGGCGAGTACCACTTGAGTGAGCACCACTCATCAGCTGCTAACACAGCTGCTCTGTAGTGTGGATGCAGGCTAGCACAAATTCAGTGCCACGAGTCCTCCAATGCCTTCCCACAATTCCCCAGTGTGCCCCAAAAGGACAGACAAGTTCTCCAACAATTCACTGGGAAAGAATTCCTAGAGCGGCTCAGCTCACTGGAGAACTATAGGATGTATCCCGAGAAGTTGTAGCACCACATTCAGGTGAGAGCAGAGCCATTGTGGACACGGCAACATGAGTGGTATTTCTGTGGCCTGGGCAGTCTCACTGGAGCTAGGCTAACTCAGGAGTACAGCTCGGCAGCTAACTGGTTTCTCAGTTCACTGGCACTCCTGAAGTACAAGGAAAAAGATTAGTTTCAGATCAACCTAAAATGAAAATGTTTCAAAATTTGCAGCATACCAAAAAGTCAGAAAAAATTCATTTGGGGTCAAAGAAAAATGGTTCATTTCACCCACAACAAATGTTTTGTTTCGATTTTGAGCTTTTATTTTATGTTGAATGAAATTGAAGGAAATTTCAAACTGAAAAGTTGTTTCAAATCAAAACGTTTTCAGAATTTTTTTTAACTGAAGCAATTTGGTAAATTCAGCACAATTGCACAAAATGTTTCAGTTGCCCCAAATCTGCATGTTCCATAAAAATAAAAGTTTTGGTCGAAAAATTTCCCCCGCCCCCCCGAATTCTATGTGAGACGAGTCACTCCAGTGCAAATCAGAGGAGTTAGCTCTGCAGTGAGGATGTAACCTGTGGACTCTTGCACAAATCTAACTTCTTAAACCACTCTGTGGCCCGTTTCCTTCCTCGGTGCCTTGATTTTACACCCAATGAAAGCCGCTCATCTAAGATGGCCTCAAGAGATGGCCTGGCTACTAATCCTGAGATTCCTGTGTGCATAATGGGAGAAGTTTGCACCTCTTGCCATAACCATACTCCGTGATTTCAGCACTCCTGCCTAAGAAAAATATTCTGATTGAGGCAGCTGACACCAGGCCTGGGTCTCAACAAACCAGCAACATAAAGGAAGATATACAAATGGTCTTTTTTCTGATCAGAGAATGAATCAGAACTTATTGGTTAATGACAGGCAGTGCCGAATATGGAAGAATCTGCTATTTATTTTTTAAAACATGTGAACATGAGTTTATTGCTCACGGGAACAGAGAGATCTGACACCGTGTTCGGTTTTTTAAGGATACCATTTGGCATAGCCGAAGCCCCGGCAGCGTTTCAGAGAAAAAACAGTGACACTGAGAAGGTCATAGCGGTCGTAGTGGAAATCAGCTCCACACGAGCTCTCAGTGTGACACTGGGGCTAAGAAGGCCAAAGACATCCTTTGATGTATAAGGAGGGGCATATCAAGTAGGAATAGGTGTTACATCTGTATGCAACATGAGTGAGACCCTTACTCTGGTCTGTCCAGCTGTGACATCAACTCTGAAGCTCCTGGCAGGGTTGCCTGGGAGGATTGAACCTGGAATCCTGTGAAGCACCGAGCTTCTGCTGCCTGAGCTAAAGGGCTGCTTCCTTAGCCCTGAGGCAGTCGCAGACTCCTAAACCACTAAACCTGGTTCAGCTACTAGAGGGAGACATGGAGGCACATTGGGTTAACCTGCTTTGCACTTAATTTAGCTAGTCAAAAATTTTCTGTCAAAATGTTACTTTTTCCAATGGAAAATGGATCATGTGCAAAACAGACATTTTAATTCAAACTGTTTGGAATTTCATTGAAAAACAAATCTAAAATTGAATTTAAGACCAAAAAATGTTCGTTTTTTCAGATTTTTTTCTTTGTTTTTATTAACAGATCCATTCTTTTAGAACAGAAATCTTATAACTTAAATAGAGAAACTTAGTGTTACACACAAATACACATTTATAAACTGGCCTATGGAAGTCCCTAAAGCTGCATTGGCAAGACCTGCTACCAGTCACTTTCCTCAACTTTGTGATCTTGATCACATATTGTGGTTGATGCTTTTCTACTCTTTGTCTTCCTCTTCTATCTTTTCAGTTGCTAGCATCAGTTAAAGTCTTTCATCTCACGTTTAGGTCCAAACTTTGATTTTTCTTGCATTTTAGTTGTGTAACCTACGTATTAGCTGTCCCACCAAAATGCTGCAAAATGTTAAACTTCAAACACACACACACACACAGAGAGAGAGAGAGAGAGAAATATCAATGAAGATAAAAAATATCTCATTTTCACTATTTTTTTTTTCTGGAGAGGGAGTGGGGACATTGCTGTACAGTTCTATGTAAAATGTTAGCTCAAAAGTGTATGTTTTGCCCTCTGTGTTTGAAAACCTGTAACAGCGATAGGTATTTCATTTAAATACATTTAGACAATCTCTTTTCCGCCATGCCTATAGTTCTTAATTTCTTTCTGCTTCTGATATTGTTTCTGGTGGTGGGTTTGCCAGGTCATGCTGTGACAATGGACATACTCTCCTTGAAAATAATATTTGGTTTCACTTAAAATGGTTTGTAAAACTCTCCTGTGAAATAACCACTTTGATTTAAAGAAATCTGTTCCCGTTGCAGCAGCGGCTCTGAACGCTCCAGAGACAAGAAACACTTCTTGCTACATACAAACTGGAAAACACTTTGACAACGACGTTACAATTGGCATTTGGCAGATTTGCACTTTTTAACCCCTATCAAGCATTTGGAGGATATAGTGGTTTGTGCAACTGAAGCGACAAAATATTAAGACTATTTTGTGTCTGACCACCACAGAGGCGGGTCGAGTTATTTTCCGTATAGGTTTGGTACGTGTTCAGGGCAAAGCCACACATATCTGGGTAGCAGCTAAGCAGAGATGGGGGCTGAGTTTGTTGCAATGGAACAAAAATTTCAACTTCCGCAGCACGTGTATATATATATAAATATATATATAAACAACCAGCCACTCAACATTGTTTGTGTGCCTTTTGGTAGCATCTATAGAACACAACTGAAATCAGGCCTCCATTGCACTGCATACTGTAGTAGGAAGAGGGCCTGAAACATAAACCTTTGAATCAGAGGCCTGGTTTGAGGCCTGAGGCCTGGGCTAAAGTAGTGGTCCAAGCTTTGCTAATATAAAGCAAAGTCAGGGCTGATAGTGCAAAAACACACATTCCTAAGGAGTGCTAGGCACAACGCACTCATGAAAGCACATTCCAGAAGGGTGGTACCAGAACACCTTGATACCAAAATGGAGTCTCAAAGAAAGTGTCTTTGGCCAACTGAAGGGATAGTGAAAAGTCCGGCCACTAACTGAGCTGTATCCCTTGTCACAGGCATACATGCACTGAGTGTACTTGTAGCAATCATAAGGTACCTATACAGTGCTTCAGCAACAATAAACCAGGCTGGGTGCCTTCATACCTTAACGGATCTTGTGGTCATTGGGAGGTTTGCTCAAGGTCTGCTCTGCCAGCTGTCTGCATGGAGCTGGGATGGCAAACAGAGAGAACACACACACACAGCCAAATATCTGATGACACATACTGTACAAATACATCGTAAGAGACAGCCCGTGCCCCAAAAAGCTTCCAATCTGAATGGGAAAGAGAAATGAAGGACTGAGGCCCAGAGATTTAAGTGACTTGCCCAAAGTCACTTAGTGAGTCTGTGTCACAGAGCTGGGATTTGAACCCCCAAGTTGTTCCTTATCCACAAGAGCATCCTTGCTCACTAAGGTTTTCAGAGCTTATGTAAGGTAGCCTACATACGCTCCAACTCTATACCTGTGAGTCTGGTCCCTGTGCGTTGCGAAATCTATGGAACTTGTGCACAGACCACGGACTCTCAAGTTACCCCTAGCAAAATCCAGCATAGCAGCCTCTGGGACAGAGACAGGAAGGAAGAAAGCAGCCATGATATGCCATCTACCCAACGCCGTCTCTTTTCAAAGGAAGCATCTGTACAAGAGCTTGACAATCCCAAAGCTGTGGGAAAGGGAGAGGGGGCAGGTCTGGATTGGGCTGCTCCTATCAGGTCTGGGAAATACCCATTGTAATTTTATTTCCGCGCCCTTTCTCAATTTTTATGCAGCGAAAAATGTTCCCCCCCCCCCCCCACAGCTCACAGAGCTGCAGTTTACAGGAAAGCATGGGGGCATCTGGAAGCCAATCAATTCAATGCCTCCCAGCTCTGCAAGTGCAAATGCCTTGATTGAAACGACACGATCGTTTCAGTCCTTAGCCTTAAACGGCAAAGGGAATCCACAGAGCGGTGATAGGAAAGAAATTCAACAGCTTCTGATAGATAAGACTTCCTGGCTTTGGATGTGGTGTTCATTTTGTTTTATGCACAATAGGTGGTTCTCCTGATTCACAGCCCTGCTAACTGGTGTGCTCTCTTCTCGGGCTGTACATGCCATGGCTGGGGACGTCGTCTATGCTGACTTAGACATCCCGGGAGCCCGCTTACCTCGTTCATCTCAACCCCACAGTGAGTGTGTTCTTACTTCCTATTTTTGTGCTAAGACTGGGATTTTCAGGTACATCTCCTGGTGTCTACCTGGAGAGGAGTGTACAGAGATGGGGTCCAAAACAGAGACACTAGTTTGTGTAATATAGAGTCATAGAAATGTAGGAGTAGACGGGACCTTGCTGGGTCATGTGGTCTATCCCCCCGTGCTGGACAGGACCAAATCTGGGCCTTGGGTCTAGCCGAGTAAATGACTATTTATTCGTTGAAATATATAGTACAGTATACACAGGTAGAGCTGTTTAGTTTTGGTGTTCGTTGCCATAATCTTGTTTTCTGGACTGTTAAATGTAAGACGCCTGGCTGGGGTGTGAAGGGATTTTAGAAGGAGGATCTTGAAAAGCAAGAGACACCCTCTGTTGTTTCTCTCACAACGACTCTATTTTTGCTCTTTGTGGTTTTCTTTGGTCTCGGATAAAAACCTTACCCCTTTGGCTGAGAGGTAGCCATATTCTCAGCCTGCCAGGCCAGCTTTCCTCTGCCTGAGCCCAAAGAAACAGCTGCCGTGCCTCTGTCCCTCTCCAGGGATTCACACAGATCAACACCTTGATTCAGCTGCGTCTCACTAGAGTGGCCAACCCTCCAGGATTGTCCTGCAGTCTCCAGAAATCACAGATTAAATCTTAGGTCATGTGATGAAACCTCCAGGAATAAGTCCAACCAAAACTGGCAACTCTAGGAGTGCCAGAAAGGGGGGCGGGGGGCTAGACGGCCATAAGGGTGAGCGACAGGGCAGGGAGCAGAGAGGAGTGAGCGGAGGATGGGGTCTTGGGAGGAAGAGGCAGCGCAGGAGCAGGGCCTCGGGGGAAGACCCAACACGCTGCTGGCTGGTCGTAGGCTCACACCAAGGTTCAGGGACAGACACGTTCTCCCACAATATGCTGCAGAACAATTGCTATTGTTTTACTACTTCATGATAACATTAGGGGCTGCATAATTCTGCCTAGGCAGTTTCAGGGATGCTCTTAAAATGGACATTCGCTGATGGACAGCTGTATGGTAGCCCCCAGAATCATGATTTATTTATCGTTCGATGAGCCAAGGTAGGGTGGTCTGGTGGCTAAGATGCTGGACTGTGATTCTAAAGATCTGAACTTGCTCTGCCATAGACTTCCTGTGTGATCATGGGCAAGCCGCTCCAATCTCTGTGGACCTGAGTTCCCAGCTGTAAAATCAAGGTGTCAGTACTTCTCTACTACATAGGAGTACTGCGAGCAGTTGCGGGGAGCGTATTTGCTGGTGCGGTATAGATTGGCACGCTATCCTCTTGCATGGGTTTCTGGACAAGCTTTTAAAGAGAATAACAAGGAGTCTGGTGGCCCCTTAAAGACTAACAGATTTATTTGGGCATAAGCTTTCGTGGGTAGAAACCCACTTCTTCAGATGCAGTCTCCATACATCTGAAGAAGTGGGTTTTTTACCCACCAAAGCTTATGCCCAATTAAATCTGTTAGTCTTTAAGGTGCCACCGGACTCCTTGTTGTTTTTGTAGATACAGACTAACACAGCTACCCCTCTGACACTTGTCTAAAAGAGAATGTAAATCATCAAGTAATTCCAATATTTCCTTTTTTATTATAATTTCCCCAAATACTGAATTGGCCAGATTTCCATCAGTGTCCACACTGGCATCAACTTGTCTTGAAGATCGGAGCTGCTGGGTATGTTGTCCTGCTGATGACAGTCATAGTGCTGAGTGTTTGGGGTAAGTCGCTCCACGCCCGTTATCCACTTGCAAGCATACCACAGGCAGTCAGATCACAGTAATACCTACCGTTAAGGCATTTCTATTACAAGGGACATTTTTTGGGTCTTATAATTTCCCACAGTTTTCACAGTTTGAACTGAAGTTTCGTGATTGGGAGCAATATTTTTTAAAAAGTTTGAGCAAAAGTAGCTCAGATGTTCTTGGATATGACAAAAGTGGGGAGGGGAAAATAAGCTTGTGACTTTTTTTTTTCTTTTTGAACATTTGTGTGACAGGGTGTTTGCCATAGAAATGAGCTGGGGAACCAGAGAACCAGCTCCCCTAGGAATTGGGCAGCCCAGAACTGAGGCATTCTATTTTATTGCAATTTATGTTTTATTTGTAAAATTAGTTAAAAGAGCTACTCTTCTAAGCAGCAGTTGTTTTTAATGTCCTAGAAAAAAGATTTCCAGCTAACACAAGGCATTGAAACAAACTTGCTATTGTAGCTAGTACTCAGGGCTTTTCTGATTTTCTTGCTCAATGTATCAAATGGTTTCATAACATCAAACAGAAGACACATCCAACAAGGAAATAAGATAAGCGCTCAAGCTGTTTGAGGCAGCTGGTAGCTGCTGCTTTTAATAATTTTAAAAAGCAAATGAAATGAAAAGAAATTGAAAAATAGAACCAAATATAAAAACTCAATAAACAATTTAATGATAAACTTAATAAAAATAAAAATTTGATTTCAAAATTTTGAAATATTTCAGCATTTCATTTTGAAATTTTCCAATGCAATTGTTTTGATTTGATTTTTTTTTTAAATTTCCACTCCACAGAAAATTGTGAAATTTCTACTTTTTGTTCCAAACAATTTTGGAATGAAAATGTCATCATAATGCAGTGACACAGAAATTTGAATGTTGACCCACTCTACTCATCAGTTTGGGGGAGACATTTAAAACTTCTAAGCCTTGAACATCTGGTTCACCAACGTTCCTTTCTGGGGTTCCTTAAAATTTTGATTTGGGGAAGTTCGAAGGATTTGTTGTTGCTGTTTTTTTAATAGTTCAGTTATCATGCACAGTGATTTTCGTTATACTAGGAGGATGATTTTTAATAGCAGATCTGCTCCCTTAGCACTTTGCTTGCAGATAGAATTTAAACGGAATTTCTCCGATGCCGACATGGAGGGTTTCCCCAGTTTAACTAAAGGTGTGACTTTAAACAAATTTAGTTAAACCGACACAACCCCAGTTGTTGACCCTCTTATTTTGGCTTAACGTGATTGGGTGCAGATTTAAGCAAAACTGAAATAAGGGCATTGCTAAGAGTGTTAGTGATGATCATGTAGTATTCAGGCCGGTCTATCTGCCTGAGGTAGGAGTCGAGGCAGTCTTTAGGTGCATGCTTGTTTATTACACTCCCACTCTATCCAGAAACACTTTAGCTTTATCGCTTCTCTCTCTTTTCACCCCATCTGCGTGTGGGCAGATGTAACACACAGTGTCTTTGTTCACACATATTAGTAAGAATATAAAAATATCAAAAGGCAAATGGGCAAACAACTCAAGACCCCACATTCTATCTCAGGCAAATATACAGGCCTGAATACTACATTATCATCACTAAAAGAAAAGGAGGACTTGTGGCCCCTTAGAGACTAACCAATTTCTTTGAGCATAAGCTTTCGTGAGCTACAGCTCACTTCATCGGATGCATCAAATAAATTGGTTAGTCTCTAAGGGGCCACAAGTCCTCCTTTTCTTTTTGCGAATACAGACTAACACGGCTGTTACTCTGAAACCTAACATTATCATCACTAACACTCCTAACAGGCATCCCCACTAATTAAACCAGTGCAAGTTTGTGTGTGGACAAGGCGTGTATAATCCCGTAAGCGTTGGATAGGCTCTATACATGCATGTGCAAGAAGGCTAAGGAGCATTTCATTTCTGATGTGAAGATGCACTTGGGATAAGGTAGAGGTTCGAAGGAGCCCACCTCAATCTCCGTGATCAGTGAACGCAGGCAATGAATTACATAGGGCTGTTTAGAAGCTCAGCTCCTTTTAATGCTCAAAATTGTGCACACAATGAGGCAGGGTTCCGCCACGGTGCCCGTTTTGTGCAAGGTGGAAGAAAACAGTAAGTATCCCATAATGGCTTTGTTACATTTCAGGGGGGAGTTGCTGGGTTTTTTTTTTAAAACTCAGGCAATGCCATCGAAAGATTACGAGGACCTTATTGAGGTGGCAAAGTCAAGCACTCAGGAACTAGGAAATGCCAGCAACACCGGTGCAAACCCTGAATTCAGCCCCCCCGATGTGTTGGCATTGTGATAATTTTTTCCCATGGAGCCCCCGTGCCTCAGTCAGTGCACAGGGTGGGCAGGGCTCACAGCACCTGTTGTAAAGGTGTCGGTCCAGAAATCAGAAGAGGTTATGCAAATGATGCAATGCCCTGATTTGCATAAATCTTCACTCTCCCCCAATGATTTCCACCCCTCTGACGCACCCCTTTCTAATTGGCCCCTCCTTGCTTAAATTCCCCCCTCTGTCTCTGGTCGTGGGTGGGGGGGACTAAGGAGAGAGCCCTGGGAAACCCCTAGGAGTCCCTATGTTTTCAGATCCTAGAGCGGTTTTCCAATGTCCTAACCATAAAGATTTTGCCTAGAGCAGGCAAACTTTTTGGACCAAGGGCCACATCGGGGGTGTGAAACTGTACGGAGGGCCAGGTAGGGAAGGCTGTGCCTCCCCAAACAGCCTGGCCCCACCCCCTATCTGCCCCCTCCCACTTGCCACCACCCCCCAGGACCCCATCCCCATCCAATCCCCCCTGCTCCCTGTCCCCTGACCTCCCTGATCCCTATCCCCACCCCTGCCCCCTGACAGGCCTCCGCAGGACTCCCATGCCTATTCAACACCCCCCCCCATTCTGCGTCCCCTGACCGCCCCCTCCCGGGACCCTCCACCGCTAACTGCCCCCCCAGGACCCCACGCCCTATCCAACCCCCCTGCTCCCTGTCCCCTGACTGCCCCGACCTCTATCCACACCCCCGCCCCCTGACAGCCCCCCCCCCCCGGGACTCCCACGCCTATCCAACCCCCCCGTTCCCTGTCCCCTGATTGCCTCCTGGGACTCCCTATCCCTTATCCAACCCCCCCCTCCCCTGCTCCCTGCCCCCTTACCATGCCACTCACCACAGCAGGAGCTTGAGTGCTGGTGGCTCAACGAGGTGAGGCTGCAGGGGAGGGGGAACAACGGGGGCGGGGCCCGGGGCTAGCCTCCTTGGCCGGGAGCTCAAGGGCCGGGCAGGATGGTCCCATGGGCCAGATGTGGCCCCGGGCCATAGTTTGCCCACCTCTGGCCTAGAGCGCTTCCCACATAAATATCCATTCACCCAGCTCCCCGGCTCAGTGACAGTGGGAGGTAGAAGCAGGTGCTGAAGAGGTGAGGGCTGAAATCCGGAGTGATCCAGCCAACCCAGGAAACTGAACAGCTCCGGTGCTGAGTGCAAGAGGCCACCTGTGCAAGACGTGGCCCCCCCTTGCTTCTTACACACTGCCCCCCATCCACCCCCTTCAGGGAATCAAAGGCCACCCCGCATCCCTGCCACAGGCACCGTCCAATCTGTGCACTGAATAAGGCTAGGGTTCTGTGTGGACAGCCTGTGTATCATAGACTCATAGACTATCAGGGTTGGAAGGGACCTCAGGAGGTCATCTAGTCCAACCCCTTGCTCAAAGCAGGACCAATCACCAATTTTTGCCCCAGATCCCAAATGGCCCCCTCAAGGATTGAACTCACAGCCCTGGGTTTAGCAGGCCAATGCTCAAACCACTGAGCTATGCCTGCCCCCCTCATACTAACACAGATGCACCAAAGAGGCAGAGGTGAAGTTGCACAAGCAAGCTTCGCCGAGACATTTGCCTAACTTTGGAGCGCTGCCCTCTGCAACCTCCGTGGTCTTTGAACATAGAAAAAGGTAGGGAATTGTAGGGATTTTCTTGCTCGTTTTCACGCCTGTTACACTTGCCAAGGAACAACTTGCTCATTCTCAAAGGCAGGACAAAATGAAACAGACGGCATCCCAGTGCATGAATTCACCCGAGCTGCTCATGAAGGCCTTGCCTTTGTTACACAGACAGGAAAAGTGAGAAGGAGCTGAACGGTTGTAGCAAAGGAGATGCCCAGTCTATCCATTTCTTTCAGTCCCCTCCCGTCTCTTTCCCTGGTACAGTCACTAGACGCTGCTGAAGGAGGTGTAATTTACAGACCCGCATTCGTAATGTTTTAAAGTACAGTCAACAATGTTCATTCACATGGATGTTGTGCTGAAGTTTTTCAGGGCTCCTCGGGGCGTGGACTGGCCCCCGAAGGCGATGTGGTCTCCGAGAGACCCAGAAACGAAAGTAAATGTGTCGCCGGCCTGGAGAAATTGTCTCACCTGAAACAGCACCTGTGTGACCCACCCCAAAGCAGCTCAACAGGTAACCTCACAGGTGTTGACTTTCATTTTTCTGGGTAGCTGCATCTTCAGCGGTTTGTTATTTAACCTGTTTTCCCCCAGGCTGTTTGTGGGACCTGCTTTTAGCCATTCGCTCCCCGCCCCAAAGACCCTGTACTGATATGAGACCTTGGCGGGGAATGGAAAGTTCTGTTCCGTGGGAGATTCCGACCTTTGGGAATTTTTTTTTCATCCAACTCAGAACCAAGAGCGGAAGTCTTGACGTTTCGTGGGAAACAAAAATGCCAAACAATTTTGATCCAGGACCGTTGCAATATTTCAGTTTGATAATGTCAAACCCCCCACCCCCGAGGCCCCACCCTCGCTCTCTCTCTTCCTGTCCCCACTCCACCCTCTCCCCGATGCCCCCGCCCACTCACCATTCTCCACCCTCCTCCAAGTCCCTCCCTGACCTGCCAAATAGCTGGTCAGCAGCTACAAACAACTCCTGCTCACACTGGAATGCATTACCTAGGGAGGTGGTGGAATCTCCTTCCTTAGAAGTTTTTAAGGTCAGGCTTGACAAAGCCCTGGCTGGGATGATTTAATTGGGGATCGGTCCTGCTTTGAGCAGGGGGTTGGACTAGATGACCTCCTGAGGTCCCTTCCAACCCTGATATTCTATGATTCTATGATTCATTAATGATGCTCTTTCCCCCTCCAGAAGGCTCCAGCTGCGTACTTTGCCCCCAAGACTGGCTGCCGTACAAGGGAAAATGTTACTGGGTGTCTAAAGAAACTAGAATGTGGAACAGCAGCCGTGATGACTGCTTAACGAAGAGCTCTCGTTTACTGGTGACCCAGGACCAGGAGGAGATGGTAAAGTTAATTTTCTTGCAGGATATTGGAGCACTGCGCCATAATAAACCAAATGTGGGAAAATGTAGTTCCAACCCCACCGGTAAGCTAGCAGATATTTTGTTTGAAGGTCAGCGGCTGGGAGTGCCAAGATCCCAAGTGCGGTATGCACGGTTGCCCGTTTGGGTAATATTTAGAAACCTGACACTCCCGCAGGAGTGCTGGAACCTCCCTGCCCCACCTCTTCCCCCCGAGGCCCTGCCCCTGCCCCACGTCTTCCTCTGAGGCCCCACCCCCATCCACTCCTCTACCTCCATATCCCCCGTTGCTCGCTGCTTTTCCCCTCCCACCCCCCGTGCCCAGGTCAGGAGGGACTTGTCTGCGGAGCTGGGGGTGGGAGCTGCAGCCGCCTAACGATGGTAGGAGACAGACCAGGCTGAATAGGGGCTGGCGCGGGTGATGATCCCCGCCTCCCCTGCTCACAGTAACTGGACTTTGGTTGTCCAGTCGGTAGATCTGACTGGACACTGTCAGGTCTCCTTTTCGACCAGACTTTCCCATCAAAAACCAGGCACCTGGCCACCCTAACAGCATGTTGTGTTGTGTTGGATTTTTATTGCCCTTGGATTAACACTGAAGCAGACTTCAGAGAATTAAAGCACCATTTATTCACCCAGATGCCTGTCTCGTCCACTTTACAGGATTACATACAGATGATCACAACCGAGAAAAATTCTCTTTGGATTGGATTAAACTTTAAATCTCCCGAGAGGATGTGGATGTGGGTAGATGGCTCCCCCTTCAATAGAGACCTGTGAGTTTCCTAATGTTTTTCCTATTTGTGTTTGCAAACAATCTTACTGCCTTGTTTGCGGATTCAGAAGCCAAAAATGTGACACTTCACCTCCTTTGAAATTATTACCGTATGGGAAAGCCCAAGCCTTCAAAACCCTAAGTCAGGTCCCCAAAATGGTGAGATTTGCTTAAAAATCATGAGTAGTGGGGGTTTTTTTAATGCATTTAGGGTTCTTTGTCTTTGTCTTCTGGTTTTCGGGGTCATGTTTTCAATCAAAAGGACGGGTAGAAACTTTGTTTTTTAAAAGGCAAGCTGAGATTCTCCCATAATCACCTGACTCCAAGAGCTGGAACTTAAAGAAAAGCACAAAATAGCATGAGGCTGGCCGTAAAACTGCAAGTGTTCATAGTGCTGCAGAAGGGAAGGTCACAACATGTGTCAATGGAAAGGCTTGGGGGTTTGTGTGTATTTCAGGTGTCGCAATAACCAGAGAGCCAGGTTCAACATAACCTGATGTTCAGGTGAGAGCAAGGCATCTCTTCTAAAACAGTTTGGTTTGAGCCACACTGGCAGATTCTAGGAATTTCTATTAAAGCCCTGGTCATCCGGACCTGAAAGATATCCCTTCCCAGATGAGCAAGGACGTGCGTCTGTGTGCAGCTAACGAGGCCTAGCGGGCACTTGAAAGTTGTAACAGTATCACTGCATCAGTTAGGGGAGGTGAATTTTTACTGGTATAATTATACCATTATAAGGAGGGAGTTCTCCCGTCAGCATAGTTAATCCACGTCCCCGAGAGGTGGCGGGCAGGTGGACAGAAGAATTGTTTTCTGAACCTTGCGCTGGCTGCACCAGGAGTTAGGTCAGGATAGCTACGTCTCTCGGGGGTGTGGATTGTTCACACCCCTGTTAGACCTAGCTGTACCAATATAAGTCCCTAGTGTAGGCCAGCATCTAGGCTCCTAACTCCCATGGATTTCAGAATTTAGATAGAAGGGATTTCCATTGAAATCGGTGGTAGTTCGGAGCCTAACTACCTTTGAGGATCTAGGTCTGAGTGACTTGACAAAGGCCATGCAGGGAAATCTGTGGCAGAGGCTAGAACCAAGTGCTGATCTCCTGGGGCTCAGCCCAGTGCATTAACAATAAGGCCAGCCTTCCCTTTGAAATGGGGGGGGAAGAAAGTGACAGCATCCTGCCCCACGGCACCGCTACAGACCCAACTCCCTGCAAAGTCTAAATACATCGGCAATGACTGGCTCTTTGATTCCACAGCACAGGGAAACCCAGTGGAAGGGACTGCGGGGTGTTAAAAAGAAACCAGATTGCGTTGGAAACCTGCAGTGCTGAATTAAAATGGATCTGCCAGAAAGATGCGCTCCTGATCTAAGCAAGGCCGTTGCAGAACTGACAGAGGAGAGGCCTTCTGTCTGGGTCTGCCCCAAGAAGATTATTGTAAGGGCTTTGTAACTTCCGTTGTTCCACTGTTTGATGCATCTGGGGCAGGATCCCAGCTGATGTAAATCAGCGCGGCCTCATTGGCAGAGCTGTGGGCCAGTTTACACAAGACGGGGATGCTGCTGACACTGAGGTGGCCCCCGATGGTTGAGTCACTGTTCCAGCTGCATGTTCTCCTGCCCTGCGCTTTCCCCACCCTGCTTCTCTCTCTCGCTGAGATTCGTGGTGGGGACTGGACCCTGCTGTCAACCTGGGTTGTTTAAACCCGGTGCTCACGAAACGCCTCTGAGCAGAATTAGGTGGTATGGTGCTTTCTGTCGTAGGAAAAGGCCCTGGACCATAAGCCCGTGTACCAGAGGTCTGGTATGAGGCCTGAGGCCTGGACTAAAGTGGTCAAAACTTTGCTGACATGAAGCAAAACCAGGTTGTAAGCAAGAGGCAGGCCCTGCTCACGCAGACACATTCCAGGGTGGTACCCGAACACCTCGATATCAGCACATTGCCCACAGATCTCAGGAACACACTGACCCATCTTAAGGACAAAGTCAGATAACAACATGATGAACACAGATGTTTTGTTCAAACCAACCCGTACAAGGTAACGGGTGGCCCCTGGATATATCAGTGGCTGGCACCCTGATCCATCAGAAGTGATACGTAACTTGTTTGTATCTGTGTATAAAGATGTATCTCAGAGACTGTCTTTGTCCGGTCTAGGGGATAGCGGAAAGTCCTGCCAGCAGCTGAGCTAGTCCATCACAATGGGCATACGTGTGTTAGCGTACCTGTAATCGTCAAGCCAGGGCATTAGGACTGTGCTTTATTGACAATAAACCTGACCAAGCGCCTTGGCATCTTAATGGATCGTGTGGTCATTGAGCGGTTCGCTCGAGGTTGGCCGTGCGAGCTGTCTGCGCAGAGCTGGGATGGCACACAGGGAGAAAACACACACTAACCCAACCATACCTACGATGGTATTCGATGTCACTTGTGGATCCCCTCAACCTCCCTGTCGTTTTTGGGACTCAGTCTCTTCAGGTGCATTTAACTCCAGACACTGATCCTGCGTCCCTTAAAAAAAACAGATTGTCTGAAAAGTCTCCCGTCACCACCCTGGGGCACGGGTCACTTGCTGGAGGATTCTCTGCACCTTAAAGTCTTTAAACTATGATTTGAGGACTTCAATAGCTCAGATATAGGTGAGAGGTTTATTGCAGGAGTGGGTGGGTGAGATCCTGTGGCCTGCGTTGTGCAGGAGGTCAGACTAGATGATCATAATGGTCCCTTCTGACCTTAATATCTATGAGTCGAAGCTGTGAGCTCTGAAGCAGGAGGGTTCGGATCCTGTGTAACTTTTTTCTAAGCAGCGAAAGTTCCTTGTTGCAGCATCGCCTGCCCGATCTAGTTTTGGGCTAGCTGCTGCCTCAGTTTCCCCTCTCTCCAGTGGGAATCTCCGAACCTTCCAGCCTCGCTTGGTTGTTGCAGGGACCTGGCCCTCCAGCTAAGTTGTAAAAGAAAATTCCACCCTTTCCAATGTCTCTGAGGACATAAACAAACACAAATGAATCTGCTATCCCAGCCTAAAGTTCTCCTCTGTCTTCTTTCCTCTAATTCGTCTGACCATTAACTGAGCAAAGCTCTTTCCTAGACTCTCTCATAGCTCCTGCTGAGGTTCTTAGAGTCTCTACCAAGCATCTATCCCCAGAGCTTCCTACCTGGCATTTCCTATCTTCTGCTCCGCAAGCTTCTCTCCTTTCGCCACCCCTCGAGGCCTGAATTAGCCCCATGACCTGCCTGTCATGTGACTTAGCTTGCCTCCCCAGGTGGAGAAATAAGCAAAGTGTAACAGGTGCAGCTGGGACCCATCTTCCCTTAAAGGGCCAGCCACCCTGTGATAGTCCCATTCTCCAGCTAAATGTCCAGTCCTCCTTTGAATCTTGCTGAGCTCACGGCCTCAATAACATCTTGTGGCCATGAGTTCCACAGGAGAATTAAGCAGTGTGTCGATAAAAAAAATTCTTTTAATCTATTTCAAATATGCTGCCTTTCCATTTCATTGGCTGCCCTCTTGATTTGATTGATTTTTTACGTGGAGTAGATGCCTACTGATCAGCTATGCGTTACAAATGAGCATAAGACAGTTTGCATATTTTTTTAGACGGCTTTATTAGGTAACAGCATGTTTCTGTTTTGCCATCTCTTCCAGGCAGTTCTCTTTTCATTTCCCACATCCAACGGTCTGGCGCAGATCCAATTCTTCTCTGTCTCACAGCTTGACGTGCTGACACCTATGTCATTCAGATATGCACAGTCGCCTCCTCCCCTTACTTCGAACCTGCAACCAGAAGCCACGGAGCTAGAATCAGTCCGTAGCCAAGGCTAGTGTGTCCCACCCACAGAGAGGCATAAACTTGCGCAGATTTTGTTAAACTGGGGGCAGCCCCCTGTGTGGATGGATGCCGTGATTCCGGTTTAAGAGCGTTTTATTTTGTTTTAGCTCGTACCAGTTCCCAGCTGACTGACGCTAAACCAGAATAAGCCACTTAAACTGAAAGAAGAATGTCCAGACAGCCTTTAGCACTGGTTTAACTAAACCGGTATAAAATCACACCTCAAGTCTAACGGGGGCTACTCTGCATGTAGACCAGCCCAGAGACAGACAGTGGAATTCTCCGCACCAAAGCAGAGCCCGAGAGGAAGTGTCTAACCTGTTCTTAAAAACCTCCCACAACAGGGATCTCACAACCTCCCAGGTAACCTTCTAACTACGCTGATAGTTAGAAAGTTAGGCCATGTCTACACTTGCATTTTATAGCACCCTAACTTGCTGGCTCAAGGGCGTGAAAAATCACACACACACACCCTGAGCAGAGCACGTTTGAGTGCTGTAGCTGTGCTCCCAGCACTCAGAGCTATTCTCCGCGTGGAGGTGGATTACACAGAGCGCGGGGAGAGCTCTCTTCCAGCCCTCGCGCGTGACCACACTCACACATCAAACTTTGTAGTGTGTACACTTAGCCTTAGACAAATGCCTGTCACGGCTGGTCTAGGTTTACTTGGTCCTGCCTCAGTGCAGGGAGCTGGACTAGACGACCTCCCTCAAGGCCCCTTCCAACCCTACATTTCTATGATTTTGATGAGTCTATGAATGGAGTTTGTAATACGATGCTCAACTGTATCACAACTGTTAAGCCACTAGATGGGCGCCATGGGTCACATACCCTATTGACGCTAAGCCCAGTCATACCTGGCTCAGTATTAAAGGATCATACAGACTGACACGGCTGCTACTCTGAAACATATCTGGTGTGGGTCTCTACAAAGGACACTCTGTAGCCAGTCCATAACCCGGTACCAGAGCCTGGCCTGCTAGGGGCAGCCCTGCCATCTACCCTGTACATGAAGCACATGACAGAGTATGTTGGAGAGAGAGAACAGAGGGTGGATAACCGGATGCTGATCTTTAACAACTGCCGGTCAGGGATGTGAAACATGAAAACAGCCTGGCAGTAATGTGAAACAAAGCCCTGATGTGGGGAGGCGGGTTGGAACTGGGCTAAGGTGGTTGCCACCCAGAGCGTAACTTATTATTAGGTTTATTAAGGTATAGCCTGAGGAGCAGAGGAGTGTAGGATCCGATTGCGCTAGGTGCTGTACAAACACAGAGTCACTGACTGTCGCACAGCGCTGACAATCGGCGTAGACCTGACAGACACAGGGCAGGGGTAGGAGTGGCACACACAGGTAGCGTGAACGATGGGATGGCAGCAAAGGGCATGGGAGTGGCACCATTTTTATTTATTTATTTTATTCGGTGGGTTAGTGAGGAGGGGCTCAGCTAAGAGGAAAGGGGGGGAGGGGGAAAGGACAGAGCAGAAGAGGGGCAGGGGTGGCGTGAAGCACCTGTGAATACATCTACACTGCAAAGGAAGATGTCACTAACACCAGTGGGCATACCCACACTAACCTTAATCTCGCTAGCATGGGTAATAATCGCAGTGCCCAGGTGGCAGCATGGACGTCAGTGCGAGCTAGCCACAGGAGCGCATAGCCTGTACGCCTGGCATGCATGCACTCAGGGTGCTCGGCTGTGCTGCCAGGCCCACCCCACACTACAATGACACTTCCATCTGGGGTGCAGAAAGACCCTGCAACAGAGTGGGGTAGAGACAAGGGTTGGAGCAAACAATCAGAGATGAAATCCTGGAGGCACTGGGCCAGAGAGGCAGGTAAGGCTGCCAGCATGGTTTTGCTTTTCCATTCTAACCTAAAGACCTAAAATACTGTATTCCTGTTAACTAAAACACCTTGGCTTTCTCTACAAACAGCTGCTGGCTGCATCGTTCCCTCAAGGGGTGAAGTCTCTAAGCAGAGGCTTGTGCTGATGCCAGTTTCAGGAGAGTGGGGCCACAGGGTTCCCCCCCACAACAAACTAAACCCACAAGAGGTGGAAATACTAGTTTTTCACCTATTTTTGACCCATGTACATTTGTCGAGGTTGATCTCTGTTGTTGATCTCTCTGCACTCTCCACTTCCAACACCAATGACTTAGCACTGAGAAAATTTAGAGCCAGAAACAGACTCACCAGTTGTCAAATTCGGTGCCGTTGGGCCACTTCCACAACTGGCTGGGCTCCCTTCTGAGGCCGATCCAATGGTAAACACTCCCTTTGTAACGCAGAAGGAATGTCTTCAAAACAAACAAAGGGAAAGCCTCTGTCTTTTTGTTTATTTATAAGCATTTCCATGGTGCTCATCCCCTGAGCGCTAGCCGCAGTGAGCACCCCTGGGACTCTCTCGTCTCCATTCAGTTCTAGCATCTGCTGTACACAATACTTCGTAACACACAGCCTTTAATGCTTGCCCAGAATTGAAGCTTTTTTAAAAAAAATAAACCCACCGAGCTTCCCAAGCCCACTCCTCTGCTCCGGCTCATAGGAGTACGGAGAGATGCTGCTTTATGTTCTGGGCTGTTGTGCCATTCAGGTTTGTGCTGCGTGGCTGGACACCCCAGCTAAATGAAAACCTGACAGACTCCAGAGACAGTTACTGGTCTCGGGGCTTTAGCTGAAGTTCTGCTTTACAGGTGTTTGGGGAATTCTTGGACACTGTGGGTGTCGGAGCATGTCTTGTGATAGGTATCGCAACCCTCTGCAGTATCTTTGGGGATCACTGTATTGCATTATGAATGGTTTACGATTGATGCCCCGCCCATCACGTCTACCAGCATAGACCGAATCTATAATGCGGGGTGGGGGGGGAAACAGCAGGGGGAGTGGGGGGGCATTTTAAAAAAGAACAACTTTTTAGGCCACCTTCCTCTATCGTCAGAAAGCAAAATAGGGCGCAAGGCCCCCGGCTGGAGACCTCAGGGCTCTGCCACACCCATCCCAGGAAAGGAGCAGCGGAGAGGCCCTACAAGCCGGCTAGAGTGGCTGCAGGGGAAGCAGCCAATCAAGGCCCAGGAGGACCTTATAAAAGGAGCTGCAGAGCAGAACAGCAGTTAGTTGCTGCTGGAAGCTGGAAAAGAAGTGACTGTGTACCTGGCTGGCAGCTAGAACGGAGCCAAAGGCAGTTTGCTCGCAGAGCCTGGGGGAACAATGAAGGAGCTCCCGGCTGGCTGCGGACACTGAGTAGGGACTGAGCCGGTGGAGGGCTGTAAGATAGTGTCTCCAGGGAGGAAATCCTGGGGATACAGCCCCATAGCAGGGCTGGACTGGTTTAAAGGACGCAGACACACCCAACCAGAGGGTGTGCTCGCAAGAGGTGGGTGCCAACTCTTTTACAGGAATATTGGAGGGAAAGCGTGTTGCTCTCTGTAGGGGCTGGGGGTGCTGGAAGACAAGGCTTTATTGTAAAGGGGACGAGCTCACTCTACAATGCCCAAGAGCCGGGCAAAATCAGGCCCTCTCTTCAGCCAGCCACTCCTCCCGTTCGCCCATCCATATGGGACCACTGACTGCGCTGAGCTGAGCGGGGAATGAACTCCCTTTCATCTCCAGGAGATGAGCAGGACTGGAGCTGTGTTTCCCCACTGAATTCATGCTCGGAGAAAGAGCTGGGGCAGGCGGACCATGAGCCACTTCAATCACGCACAGGCTGCAAAGCCCCAGCTCCAGCCAGGGACCTGGAAAGATCATTCGCTCTGCCCTCCCGGCACGGGACGCACAGGGGCCCCTCACACTGCAGGGCCTGGGCACTGTCCCACTGGCTCACATGACAGATTCTGTCTAGGCTGGAAGACGTTATGGGCCGGGTGTCAAACATAAGCCATTCATCATTGGCGCTGCCATGCCAAGGCCTGTCTAGTGCGCTCACAAAACACCTGGGTCTCTCACCATCTCCAGGCCGCTGTCAATCCCAGCCAGAGAGGCACCGTGTGAAGAGCAGTAGCTCTGGCTGGCGGTCCAATTCCTTTCGTCCTCGGAGAAGAAGTAGCACCGTCTTCGGTAGCCAACCCAGCCATCCGGACATGATGGGACGTCCGCAGAATCCAAACATGACTTCCTGGTTCTGACTGAAACAGAGAACGTAACACAGGGGCTGTCCCCTCCTCATCTCTGTATCCAAGGGGAACAAGTAGGATAATCCCCTTAGGCCTCAGAGAATCCCCTAAGCAGCTCTGGCAATTGCTTGGACGCAGTGGTGGGCGGTGACGTTTTCAGTATGGCAATTCCACACCCGCATGCAGGACAAGACCTCCCCTTCCAAGCGTTTCACAAATGGGAAGGGGGCGCCGAAGACGCTCCTCGCTCGGGGGCGCCATTAGGTCTAGGGCCAGCATTAAAAAACAAGTAGGAGGCAACTTCAGGAGCCAAGAACCGGGAAGCCGTTTGGCTAAGCTTTTCCCGTTTGGCTGCAGCGCGATGCTGGCTCCCCCAAACCTCGCGAGGACGTCCGCTCCAGGGCCTGGAGACGTGCGCTCGAGCCAGCTCCAGATCTGAACAGAAAAGGCAGAGAGCGAACCCATAAGGGCTGCACACTCACCTGCCAGGGCGGCTGTGGTTGCGATTAAACCCGAGATGAGGACGGTGACGGCTGCCACGATCGTAAGTGCTGTAGGTTTCCTGAGCCTGTAACCTGAAAGAGACCAACGTATGAACACCCCTGGGGTTGCTGCAGCGGGGAGGAATCGGAGTTATTTTATTTACCATGGCCCAGTGCAGAGACAGGGGACGGTTTGCACACCCCCCTAGTCAAGCAAATGGACAGTCACGAGCTTCTCATCTTGGTAGATGAGAGTTTGTCGCTGTCTCTGATCTATCCTGCACTGAATATGGGATTACGAATTTCCTCCCAAGCTTTTCGACAGCATTTATCACCGCAGTAACTCGGCGAGAGATTTAAACGGGTAACGATTAGAGACCGGCATGGAACAAGCCAACCTGCGCCCTGCCCAGCGAAGCTTTTGCCGTCATGTCCCAGCGAAACAAACAGGGATATTCCGCCCTGAACCAGAGGGGGAGAGACAGGGACACAGTCCCAAATGGGTGCCGCTGGCAAGCCCACAAAATGCCCCTGCACCCTGTTACACAGCCATAAGCGCCCGGCTGCAGGGCAAGTTGTAGCAGTCCCTACAAAGCAAGCAGCGGGGCTCATAGGAAGCCGGTGGGGTGATCAGATCCCTGCTGCGCTCGCAGGCAGGCGTTGGGGCTGCTGCACCCAAAACTGAACATCTGGCTTCATCTGCAGAAGCTGCAGTGTTTCTCCCAGGCAGAGGGGCTCCACCTACCTGGTTCCTTTCCTTGCTCTCGGTCTCCATTGCTATTAAGGGGAACATCCAGCTGCTGTTCCTTACAGATACCCAGGCCATTGTACATGCTTTGTCTTTCTGTGTCATTCTCTGTTAAAAAAAAAAAATCACAGTTCTGCTTGAAGTTACAGTGATGTAATTGAATGATTAGAGGGGGGGAAATTCTCTGTGGTGTGTTTCCTTTGTGTGTTGGACAGCAGCTTGTGTTGTTATTATTTGTTATCTGCATTATGTTAGGGCCCAGGTCCCCCTGTGCTCCACGCGCCACACACAACTAACAAAAAACTGTTCTCTGCCCCAAAGAGTTTGCAATCTAAAGGCGGGTCGACACTTAAAATGCTGAGTCGGCACAGTTGCACCACGGCTGGTAATAGCTCACCTTTCCCGATCGCTCTGGTTACAGTCTCTACGGTGACACCCATTGTTTCATGCTCTCTGTGTATACAAAATCTCCCCACTGTATTTTCCACTGCATGCAGCCGATGAAGTGAGCTGTAGCTCACGAAAGCTTATGCTCCAATAAATTGGTTAGTCTCTAAGGTGCCACAAGTCCTCCTGTTCTTTTCACTTTAATGAAGACACTCTCAGCGAAAGGGCGAGAGCTCTCCAGTCAGCCGACAGGATACTTACTCCACCTCCCTGAGAGGCGGTAGCTATGGCGACAGGAGCAGTTCTCCCGTTGACAAAGCGCTGTCTACACTGGGGGTAGGTCGGTATTACTATGTCTCTCAGGCGGGTGTATTTTTCACACCCCTGAGCGACGTAATTATACCAATAGACAGCTGTAGTGTAGAACTGACCTAAACACCCCAATCCTGCAAACATTGACATGCCTATTTAACGTCACACACTGAGCGGGCTCCCGGAAGCCAAGGGGGCTACTCACAGCACGAAGCATGTGCATTCGTTTTGGCAGGATCAGAGCCTACCGATCAGACAAGAGGCAGCGGGTGAATCCAGCAACGAGATGGGAGGAGCCCTGAAATGGTTCTGATGACGGTAACTAGTACATCATGGGTTCCATCGGTTCCTCTGTATAGTCAGTCAGGTTCCTGTTTTGTTTCATGTGTGAGTTTCACTCAGCAAAAAGGGAGTGAAAAACCAGCTCATGACTAAAGGACATTTGGTTGTAAAAAAACCTGGCAGGGAGACTCCGGCTTAAGTGCGGAAAACCACAGCTGGTTTTATCTTATTTATTAAAACTGATTTGGTTTCAGGTTGACTGTATCTAGGGGAACCTTATGTTTTTCTCCCTTCTAAATTTGTTTCATACCAGACAATACATTGCTACCAGGGGCCAAGATCTGAATTGCAGGGGGTATTGTCAGTTACAGGGAAGTGAAGGGATCACCCTAAAGCAGTGTTTCTCAACCTGGGGGTTACGAACCCCGGGTGTGGGGGGTCACGGGCAGAGCCATCCCTTGGGTAGGGCGACTCGGGGCAACCACTCCGGACCCCACGCTTTGGGGGCTCCGTGGGCTGGTGCAATTGGCCAGCGCGGTCGGTCCTGGAAGATGAATCTGTCACTTCCGCAGGGCCCACCATCTTGCTGGCAGTTAGTGGAGACAGCACCTGGCTTGGCCGCCTGTGTTTTGGTGCAGCGAGTCCCCCGCCCTGGCCGGAGCCCTGAGCCATGGGGCGCTATGGCCAACAGTAGCCCCACGGTAGGCGCCAGCAACTGCCAGCAGCAGCTGGTGGCCCAGCACCAGGCCGGATCCGTCCCACCGGCCCAGCCACCAATGCACAGCGGGGCCCCTAAGCCGGTGGGGGCAGATTTGTCCCAGGCCCTGCACCCCCCTAGGGACGGCCCTGGTTGCAGGATGGGTTTAGGAGGTCACAAGAGCAGTGTCAGTGTTAGGGAGAGGCACGCTGGGCAATTGCCCATGCCCCCCTCTACAAGGGGGGCCCCACGAAACTAAGTTACATGCTTCCACCCTGGGCGGTGGGGCTCAGGGCTGAAGCTGAAGGCCGAGCCCCGCTGCCCAGGCCGGAAGCATGTAACTTAACTTCATGGAGCCCTGGGCAATTGCCCTGCTTGCCACCCCCTAATGCCAGCCCTGAGTCTTTAATCTTTTAATTTACTTAATGATATTTAAGGGGGAGGGGTCACAGTTTTTCCAAGTCTTAATTTAAGGGAGAAGGTCACAATTTTATTGTAAGTCCAAAGGGAGTCGCCAACATACAAAGGCTGAGAAACACTCCCCCAAAGCAAAGGTCAGTTCAATAGCAGGATGTGTTTCAAAATACTTTCAGTTTTACTACTGACTTGAATCACAAGCACTGCAAGGGGTCCCTGCCCCCCGCCTGTCTTCTCTTTGGTCTGAAACTCGTTGCAGTCCCCAAAAGAGGCTCAGTTTAGAGACCAGACCTGGCTCATTCCTATTCTTGGTGTCAATACTGCCTAGTACACCGGGGTGCGGTTCGATCCTCCCGTCCCACAACCCCAGTCTCTCCCTGCCCCTCCCCTCCCCCCACCCCTGTCTCTCCCCTCTCTCTGCCCCTCTCCACCCCTCAGCTAAATCACCCCTAGGCTTTGCAATATGATTCAAATCCCGTTCTCCCCACTCCCTAAATAATGAACAAGTATGAAAACCGGGCTCCCGCTCCCCACTTCGCTCTGGTCCCGGAGAAGTGAACTTACCGAGTTCCAGGACTGAAAGAGAAAGAACAAATATAGTCACTGAACTATATACTGCAAACTCCACCCCTATGCTGTGCACTGTAAAGGAGGACGGCCTACAAAGTGGCAGCTTAGCTACTTGGTGTTGCAGGCTGCAACTGGGAGATAGCCCTCTATGAGGACAAAGGCCCTGCCCTACCTCACAGGGTAAATACAATAAAGATTGCGAAATCGAGGGACGTGATCGTTCCCCCTCTATTCGACATTGGTGAGGCCTCATCTGGAGGACTGTGTCCAGTTTCGGGCCCCACACTACAAGAAGGATGTGGAAAAATTGGAGAGAGTCCAGCGGAGGGCAACAAAAATGATTAGGGGACTGGAACACATGACTTCTGAGGAGAGGCTGAGGGAACTGGGGATGTTTAGTCTTCAGAAGAGAAGAATGAGGGGGGATTTGATAGCTGCTTTCAACTACCTGAAAGGGGGTTCCAAAGAGGATGGATCTAGACTGTTCTCAGTGGTAGCAGGTGACAGAACAAGGAGTAATGGTCTCAAGTTGCAGTGGGGGAGATTAAGGTTGGATATTAGGAAAAACTTTTTCACTAGGAGGATGGTGAAACACTGGAATGCGTTACCTAGGGAGGTGGTAGAATCTCCTTCCCTAGAAGTTTTTAAGGTCAGGCTTGACAAAGCCCTGGCTGGGGTGATTTAGTTGGGGAACAGTCCTGCTTTGAGCAGGGGGTTGGACTAGATGACCTCCTGAGGTCCCTTCCAACCCTGATATTCTATGATTCTATGAGATACCGACAGTGGCAAGAAAAGTACCATAGAAGGAGAATTGTGTGGGTGATCGGGGGCTGTCTAAGAAAGAATGTTGTGACACAGTCTCATCCCTACTGTTCCCAACAAGTAGGGAACAGCCCAGTTCAGTGAGGAAACCTAATGCGGGGGAAAAGGCAATTTTCATTCCTCTGGTCCAAAAACACCAGCACAAATCCTGCGTCAGGGCAAAATCAGAGGCACACCGCATGCTTATCATTGTATACAGAGCACCGAGGCCCCGGCTAAGATCAGGGCACCACTGTGCAAGGTGCTGAAGTCGTGCAAAGCGAGAGGCACTCCCTTCTCCAAAGAGCTTACAATCCAAACACAGCATCGTCTCTTGGCAATAACTGCAAGTAGCAGATCCCCTCGTAGATTCCAAAGCCAGAAGGGACCGTTGTGGTCATCTAGTCTGACCTCTTGGATAATGCAGGCCAAAGACCTGCTCCGAAAATAATCCCTAGAGCCAAGCTTTTAGAACAGCATCCAATCTGGATTTAAAAATTGTCAGTGATGGAGAATCCCTCAGGACCCTTGGTAAATTGTTCCAGTGGTTAATTACGCTCACTGTTAAAAAATGTCCTGTTATTTCCAGTCTGAATTTGTCTAGTCTCAACTTCCAGCCATTGGATCATTTCAGACCTTTCTCTGCTCGATTGAAGAGCTCATTATTAAATATTTGTTCCCCATGTAGGTACTGATAGACTGTAATCAAGTCACCCCTTAACCTTCCCTTTGTTAAGCTAAATAGATTGAGCTCTTCCATAAGGCAGGTTTTCGAATCCTTCAGTGATTCTCATGGTTCTCTGAACCTTCTCCAATTTATCAACCACCTCCTTCAATTGTGGGCACCAGAACTGGACACAGGATTCCTTCAGTGGTCACACCAGTGCCGAACACAGAGGTAAAATAATCTTCTGCTCCTCCTCGAGATTCCCCTGTTTATATCTCCCAGGATCGCCTTAGCTTCTTCAGCCACAGTATCGGACTGGGAGCGCATGTTGGCTGATTATCCACCATGACCCCCAAATCTTTGTCAGAGTCCCTGCTTCCCAGGGTGGAGTCCCCCATCTTGTACGTATGGCCTGCATGCTTTGTTCCTAGGCGTATGACTTTACCTTTGGCCGTATTAAAATGTACATTGTTTCCTTCATCCAATTTACCAAGTGATCCAGACCGCTCTCTATCAGTGACTAGTCCTCTTCATTGTTTACCACTCCCCCAGTGTTTGTGTCACCTGCAAACTTTGTGAGTGAAGATGTTACGTTTTCTTCCAGGTCACTGATAAAATTGTTAAATAGTGTAGGGCCAAGAACTGATCCTGCAGGACCCCACAGGAAACAGATACGATTGGTGATAATTCCCCATTTACAATTACATTCTGAGACCTGGTGGAGGGGGTAACATATTTTATTGGACCAACTTCTGTTGGGAAGAGAGGCAAGCTTTCAAGGCACACCAAGCTCTTCTTCAGGGCTGGGAAAGGTACTCAGAATTGAAAACTTTGAGACTGAAAGGGAATTTGCTAGGTCATCTAGTCCAGTCCCCTGCCCTGAGCCAGGACTAAGTATTATCTAGCCCATCCCTGGCAGATGTTTGTCTAACCTGCTCTTGAAAACCTCCAATGATGGAGACTCCACAACCTCTCTAGGCAATTTGTTGCAGTGC